ATTAGAGGAGGGCAGTTAGAGGAGCAGTTAGAGGAGGGCAGTTAGAGGAGGGCAGTTAGAGGAGGGCAGTTAGAGGAGGGCAGTTAGAGGTGGGCAGTTAGAGAAGAAGAGAGGCGGGGGTGGTCCCTTGGGTACTGGTGGTAGTATGATGGTATCATCAGTAGCTGGCGGTGTGGACGGTTTATTTACATTGGATTCTACACTGTTTGGATTGTGTGTCAAGTGTGTATGTCTGTGTGTTGATTGGCTGAGAGCAGGGTACTTCCTGCGAGTGAAACTATCGCACAGTGCCACCACACACACACACACAAATGCACCTTCCCACAAACCCGTTTCCTAGGAAAACACCCCTGATAACAACACACACTATCAGACCCACAACCCTAAACCACAACCCTAACCCTAACGCTAACCCACAACTCTAACCCACAACCCTAACGCTAACCCACAACCCTAATCCTAACCCACAACCCTGACCCACAACCCTAAACATAACCAACCGAACCCGAACCCACAACCAACCAAAACCAAAGAACGAACCAAAAACCGAAAAGAACCAAAACCGAAAGCAAAAAGAACCCGAACCAAAACCCGAAACAGAACGAAAAGAAACGGAACCCACAACGAAACCCAAGAAACAACCCACAACCGAAAGCAAACCCGAAAACCAGGAACCCAAGGAAACCAAAAAAAAACCCAAAAAAAAGAAAAAAAAACAAAAAAAAAAAAAAACAGAAAAACGCAAGAAAAGAAACAAAAAGAAAAAACTTCAACGTTTATAAACGGGTAAAGCCGAAACACGTATGTATCCTAGAATAAATATGTTACACTACTAGTTCCTCAATAAAATCTCCCTACCTATAAGCATTAATATAAATCTGTTCAGCCTAACATACTAAGATGTTAATATCCTAGCATCATACATTAATAATCTATAGCTACTCAATCTTCTCCTCTCCCCTCCTGTGTTAGTGTGTGTATGTGTGTGTGTCCTACCGTGGTGTTCTCGTGGCTGGGTATGGGTGTCTCCCGGGGGGTGGCGTCTGCTGACTCTGGGCCACCCTGCTCTGCCACTGCAACCACGTTAGATTGACAGCTGTCAGGACTATTCAACTAAAACAAATATTTGATTTGCTGAAACTAAAGGATATCTTACAGTGGCATAAACACACTGTAATAACACACTTAATAAAGTAACCCACTCACTGGCTTTGCGAGCCTTGCGGGCGAGAGCAGCAGCCAACTCATTCTGCACCTGCAGAGACAGAACATACACACTCAGTATGGCAGCTCATTTCAGTCACACACACACACACACACAACTAACCGTGGAGGTGAGCCTATCTAGCGCTTTCATCTGGAGAAAGCTGTCCCCGCAGACATCTCTGTTCCCTTCTGAGTCCTCCTCAGACCTATAACAGACACACACACACACACACACACACACCATTAGTTTTTCCAGTCTTCTCTTCATGTGTTTTATGTCTCTCTACTGTTCACTACTGGACTCTACTGTTCACTACTGGACTCTACTGTTCACTACTGGACTCTACTGTTCACTACTGGACTCTACTGTTCACTACTGGACTCTACTGTTCACTACTGGACTCTACTGTTCACTACTGGACTCTACTGTTCACTACTGGACTCTACTGTTCACTACTGGTGTCTCAACTGGTGTCTACCGTTCACTACTGGTGTCTACCGTTCACTACTGGTGTCTACTGTTCTCCCTGTTAGGTGTCTCTACTGGTCTCTCTACTGGGTGTCTCTAAAGCTCTCTACTGGTCTCTCTACTGGGTGTATCTAAAGCTTTCTACTGGTCTCTCTATTGGGTGTATCTAAAGCTCTCTACTGGTCTCTCTGCTGGGTGTCTACTGCTCTCTACTGGTCTCTCTACTGGGTGTCTACTGCTCTCTACTAGTCTCTCTGCAGGGTGTCTACTGCTCTCTACTGGTCTCTCTGTTGGTGTCTGTACTGCTCTCTACTGGTCTCTCTGTTGGTGTCTCTACTGCTCTCTACTAGTCTCTCTGTTGGTGTCTCTACTGCCTCTACTGGTATCTGTGTTGGTGTCTCTACTGCTCTCTACTAGTCTCTCTGTTGGTGTCTCTACTGCTCTCTACTGGTCTCTCTGTTGGTGTCTGTACTGCTCTCTCCTAGTCTCTCTGTTGGTGTCTGTACTGCTCTCTACTAGTCTCTCTGTTGGTATCTCTACTGGTCTCTCTGCTGGATGTCTCTACTGCTCTCTAGTTGTCTCTCTGCTGGATGTCTCTACTCCTCTCTACTGGTCTCTCTGCTGGATGTCTCTACTCCTCTCTACTGGTCTCTCTGCTAGATGTCTACTGCTCTCTACTGCTCTCTCTGCTGGATGTCTCTACTGCTCTCTACTGGTCTCTCTGCTGGATGTCTCTACTGGTCTCTACTGGTCTCTCTGCTGGATGTCTCTACTGGTCTCTACTGATCTCTCTGCTGGATGTCTCTACTGCTCTCTACTGGTCTCTCTGTTGGATGTCTCTACTGGTCTCTACTGGTCTCTCTGCTGGATGTCTCTACTGATCTCTCTGCTAGATGCAGGGAAACTTAAATCCGTTCTACCTAATTTCTACCAGCATGTTAAATGTGCAACCAGAGGAAAAAAAACTCCAGACCACCTTTACTCCACACACAGAGACGTATACAAAGCTCTCCCTCACCCTCCATTTGGCAAATCTGACCATAACTCTATCCTCCTGATTCCTGCTTATAAGCAAAAACTAAAGCAGGAAGCACCAGTGACTTGGTTAATAAAATATTGGTCAGATGACGCATATGTTAAGCTACAGGACTGTTTTGCTAGCACAGACTGGAACATGTTCCGGGATTCTTCAGATAACATTGAGGAGTACACCACATCAGTCACTGGCTTCATCAATAAGTGCATTGATGACGTCGTTCCCACAGTGACCGTACGTACATACCCCAACCAGAAGCCATGGATTACAGGCAACATCCGCACTGAGCTATAGGGTAGAGCTGCCGCTTTCAAGGAGCAGGACTCTAACCCGGACGCTTATAAGAAATCCCGCTATGCCCTCCGATGAACCATCAAACAGGCAAAGAGTCAATAAAGGACTAAGATTGAATCGTACTACACCGGCTCTGACGCTCGTCGGATGTGGCAGGGCTTGAAAACTATTACAGACTACAAAAGGGAAGCACAGCAGCGAGCTGCCCAGTGACACAAGCCTACCAGACGAGCTAAACTACTTCTATGCTCGCTTCGAGGCAAGCAACACTGAAGCATGCATGAGAGCACCAGCTGTTCTGGATGACTATGTGATCACGCTCTCCGTAGCCGATGTGAGTAAGACTTTTAAGCAGGTCAACATTCACAAGGCCGCAGGGCCAGACAGATTACCAGGACGTGTACTCCGAGCATGTGCTGACCAACTGGCAAGTGTCTTCACCGACATTTTCAACATGTCCCTGACTGAGTCTGTAATACCAACATGTTTCAAGCAGACCACCATAGACCCCGTTCCCACGGACACTAAGATAACCTGCCTAAATGACTACCGACCCGTAGCACTGACGTCTGTAGCCATGAAGTGCTTTGAAAAGCTGGTCATGGCTCACATCAACACCATTATCCCAGAAACCCTAGACCCACTGCAATTTGCATACCGCCCCAACAGACCCACAGATGATGCAATCTCTATTGCACTCCACACTGCCCTTTCCCACCTGGACAAAGGAACACCTACGTGAGAATGCTATTCATTGACTACAGCTCAGCGTTCAACACCATAGTGCCCTCAAAGCTCATCACTAAGCTAAGGATCCTGGGACTAAACACCTCCCTCTGCAACTGGATCCTGGACTTCCTGACGGGCCACCCCCAGGTGGTAAGGGTAGGTAACAACACATCTGCCACGCTGATCCTCAACACGGGGGCCCCTCAGGGGTGCGTGCTCAGTCCCCTCCTGTACTCCCTGTTCACCCATGACTGCATGGCCAGGCACGACTCCAACACCATCATTAAGTTTGTCGACAACACAACAGTAGGCCTGATCACCGACAACGATGAGACAGCCTATAGGGTGGTGCCAGGATAACAACCTCTCCCTCAACGTGACCAAGACAAAGGAGATGATTGTGGACTACAGGAAAAAAAAGAGGACTGAGCACGCCCCCATTCTCATCGACGGGGCTGTAGTGGAACAGGTTGAGAGCTTCAAGTTCCTTGGTGTCCACATCACCAACGAACTATCATGGTCCAAACACACCAAGACAGTCGTGAAGAGGGCACGACAAAGCCTATTCCCCCTCAGGAGACTGAAAAGATTTGGCATGGGTCCTCAGATCCTCAAAAAGTTCTACAGCTGCACCATCGAGAGCATCCTGACTGGTTGCATCACCGCCTGGTATGGCAACTGCTCGGCCTCCGACCGCAAGGCACTACAGAGGGTAGTGCGTACGGCCCAGTACATCACTGGGGCCAAGCTTCCTTCCATCCAGGACCTCTATACCAGGCGGTGTCAGAGGAAGGCCCTCAAAATTGTCAAAGACTCCAGCCACCCTTGTCATAGACTGTTCTCTCTGCTACCGCACGGCAAGCGGTACCGGAGCGCCAAGTCTAGGTCCAAAAGGCTTCTCAACAGCTTCTACCCCCAAGCCATAAGACTCCTGAACAGCTAATCACGGCTACCCGGACTATTTGCACTGCCCCCCCACCCCATCTTTTTACGCTGCTGCTACTCTGTTAATTATTTATGCATTGTCACTTTAACGCTACCCACATGTACATATTACCTCAACTACCTCAACTAGCCGGTGCCCCCGCACATTGACTCTGCACCGGTACCCCCCTGTATATAGCCTCCCTACTGTTATTTTATTTTACTTCTGCTCTTTTTTTCTCAACACTTTTTTGTTGTTGTTGTTTTATTTTACTTTTTTATTAAAAAATAAATGCATTGTTGGTTAAGGGCTGTAAGTAAGCATTTCACGGAATTGTCTACACCTGTTGTATTCGGCGCATGTGGCAAATAAAATGTGATTTGATTAGATGTCTCTACTCCTCTCTCTGCTGAATGTCTCTACTCCTCTCTACTGGTCTCTCTGCTGGATGTCTCTACTGCTCTCTACTGATCTCTCTGCTGGATGTCTCTACTGGTCTCTACTGGTCTCTCTGCTGGATGTCTCTACTGGTCTCTACTGGTCTCTCTGTTGGATGTCTCTACTGCTCTCTACTGGTCTCTCTGCTAGATGTCTCTACTGCTCTCTACTGCTCTCTACTGGTCTCTCTGCTGAATGTCTCTACTGGTCTCTACTGGTCTCTCTGCTGGATGTCTCTACTGGTCTCTACTGGTCTCTCTGCTGGATGTCTCTACTGGTCTCTACTGGTCTCTCTGCTGGATGTCTCTACTGGTCTCTCTGCTGGATGTCTCTACTGGTCTCTCTGCTGGATGTCTCTACTGGTCTCTCTGCTGGATGTCTCTACTGGTCTCTCTGCTGGATGTCTCTACTGGTCTCTCTGCTGGATGTCTCTACTGGTCTCTCTGCTGGATGTCTCTACTGGTCTCTCTGCTGCTCGTTCTTCCTCTTCTCTCTTTTCCTCCTCTTTCTCTCCCTCTGTGTGTGTGCTTGTTTTTTCTGTGCGTGTATAAACAGCACAGTGTTTTAGGGTAAACTAATCTCTCTCTCACAACTTCCCAGACTAATTTGTATATAATTAGAATTTGATCTGTGGCTTCAGTAAATGGTTGCAGAGGAGGAAGAGTGTGTGTCTGTGTGTGAAAGAGTGATCTGATAAAGCATGATGGATGCAGTAGCAGGACAGGTAGTGAAGTAGGGAGGAGAGGAAGTCTCTCTCTCTCTCGATCTCTCTAAGGAGAAGAGAGAGAGAGAGAGATAGAGAGAGGAGAGAATAGAGCACGTATATATACGCGAGAGAGAACTAGATCGGTCTATATTATCTGATGTGGATATCTCTGTTTCTCTATCTATCTCGCTCTATCTTACTAGCTCCTCTTAGTCTTCTCTCTCTCTCTCGCTCTCTCTCTCCTCTCTCTATCTCTCCTCTCTCTCTCTCTCTTTCTCTCTCTCTCTTGAGGGAACAGGAAATTCTGGTGAACTTCATACGCCGGTATGCTCCCTCAACACTCTCCCAGCTCCCGCTATGAGAGAGTGTATTAGAGAGAGTGTGTGTGCGTGTCAGTGCCAGACTAAGGGATTAACAGTATGTAGAGAGATTAAAGATGAATCTTATCAGTTGGAACACGGATTCTGCTCATGTTCGTGTGTGTCTGTGTTCATGTGTGATGGTCATGCAACACTGGGTCACGTTCACACACACACACACACACAATTACCCAGTTCTGAACTGGACGTATGGTACAAGCTGTAGGAGGAGCCTAACAGCCTCTGGCCACGACTCCTTCTCCAGGCCGCAGAACTCGCAGGCTGCAGACTCACACTCCTCAAAGCTGAACTGGTAGTAGGAGTTAGAGTCCCCAAACACCACGCGCTGGTCCACTGAAACACACACACACACACACACAGATACAGATTGACTGGTCCACTGAAAAACACACAGATACAGATTGACTGGTCCACTGAAACACACACAGATAGAGATCGTTACGTACTGTATAAGAATGTGTGTGTGTGTGTCAGGGGAGAACGACTGCCCCCTGTGATTGAATCCACAGAAGTTCAAGGCCGACCAAGGTACTGCAGGCATTATCAGGATCCCGCATTATAGTGAACAGAAAAATGGCAATCTTCGTGTAAATAAACAAATGTTTCGAAGGCAATCACGGTATCAATAATTGCGTCTAATACACCAGATGTAGGTCCTTGAACCGATTATTTTAAAATAGCACACATAAGAAGTTTAGTTGCTAATGGCAGCCTGCAGTACCCCAGTCGGCCTTCAACTTGAGTTACTCAACAAGAGGGGGCAGCACTGAGCTAGCCTGCAACGTCACTTTCTGGAGTAGCTCAAACTGCGCATGTTATGACTCCATGAGACGCCATCTTAAACCCATAACCATATGTGTGAGGTGTATACTTTTGTTTCAAAGTAGATTTGTTGAAGACTTCCAAGAGTCACACTGTGACCCTGATTTAGCCCACTGCAGTGAAAGGTTAACCGACTTCCTTTGGCTTCAATACGCTATTGAGTCTTCATATAGGAAAGAATGGTGTCACGTGATCGATGGGGGTGTGTGCCCCCCCCCCACAGATAGTATATGAACATGTCATAATCCATTAATTATAATTATTTTGAATTACACAAAATTAGCTTTAAAACTGCACAATTTTCTCTCAGCCTCATGGCAAAATGTGTAGAATAGCAGAAAATTAGCTCAGGGATTCTTGAATGTCGGGACAATCCGTGTCTGGCAGGGAAACCTTATTTTTATAGCTGAATATTTTGATTTTGTTTCCTTCTTTGAGCTTAAAATGTACATTTAGTGGAAATGTATAAGGAAAATATTTGTTTTCAGGAATTTTCTAAATACAATATTATTAATTTCCATGTCGGCTCTATGCCTGGAAATGCCCTTGTCCGGAGCAAACGATCCACATTTCAAACTCTGCACAAAAAAACAATCCAGTTAGTTGCATTTTATGAAAGAAAAATGTGGTTGTTCCTTTACATGGTGTGATAGCTGATATTTTGGTCTATCAAAATACATATTTAAAAATGTGTTAATATTAAGACAAATGTTTGTGGGAAAAAAGTTGAGATTGTCCATCTTTCAAGAATCCCTGAGCTCTAAAACAGCAACATTTTCTCTCAGCCTACTGGCAAATTGTGTAAAATAGCTTGAGATTAGCCATAAAAAAACACACATTTTTCTCACTGCCCAATGCCAAAAATATATATAATCCCCACCCCCCCCACGAAACTGCGCTACGCCACTGCTGTGTACTCACCAGACAGCAAGATGCCCAGCTCCAGTAAGACCTGCCAGACGCGCACGGCCGCGCTCCGACAGCGCACGTACACACACTGCTCACACAGCCACTGGACCAGGTCTACACCCACGTAGCTACGCCTGGACACACACACACATGAACACACACATCGATGTGCCCTCAGATGGCACTTGGTGTTCAGCAGGGGCACTCTGTTGGAATGGATCACTCAGCAATGGATGCTGTATGTCACCATGGCAACTTCAGGTTGAAATAAAGTGATATATTTTTCACACAACCGTGCCAATCCGAACCGTACTGTGCTGGCTTAAAGATTTTCCTTTTGGATTGTCAGCATGGTTCCAGGCTTCCAGCAACTGTGAGGTGAACTCAGCCACCCGAGTATAGAGCGTTGCCATGGTGACACCCAGCACCTGCACTAGGTTACAACGGCGGACAGACATCTTCAGTTTTAGAACTAGACATAATTCAACAGCAACAACAACACACACACTCATAGAGGGGATTAAGCTGGCCCGGGTTGAACCGGGCTATGGACCGTCACGTGACCGGGCAAAGCCAGTGAGGGAGAAGCGCCCTTCTCAAGTCGAACAGTAATCTGCGCCGCTCTGTCATGTTGTCAACAAGGCATGGCGCATCGTTCAGAAATATACAACATCTCTTTTCCATAAAATATACAGTTGAAGTCAGAAGTTTACATACACTTAGGTTGGAGTCATTAAAACTCGATTTTCAACCACTCCACAAATTTCTTGTTAACAAACTATAGTTTTGGCAAGTCGGTTAGGACATCTACTTTGTGCATGACACAAGTAATTTTTCCAACAATTGTTTACAGACAGATTATTTCACTTATAATTCACTGTATCACAATTCCAGTGGGTCAGAAGTTTACATTCACTAAGTTGACTGTACCTTTAAACAGCTTGGAAAATTCCAGAAATGGCTTTAGAAGCTTCTGATAGGCTAATTGACATAATTTGAGTCAATTGGAGGTGTACCTGTGGATGTATTTCAAGGCCTACCTTCAAACTCAGTGCCTCTTTGCTTGACATCATGGGAAAATCAAAAGAAATCAGCCAAGACCTCAGAAAAAAAATTTGTAGACCTCCACAAGTCTGGTTCATCCTTGGGAGCAATTTCCAAACGCCTGAAGGTACCACGTTCATCTGTACAAACAATAGTACGCAAGTATAAACACCATGGGACCACACAGCCGTCATACCGCTCAGGAAGGAGACGTGCTCTGTCTCCTAGATATTAACATACTTTGGTGCGAAAAGTGCAAATCAATCCCAGAACAACAGCAAAGGACCTTGTGAAGATGCTGGAGGAAAAGGGTACAAAAGTATCTATATCCACAGTAAAACAAGTCCTATATCGACATAACTTAAAAGGCCGCTCAGAAAGGAAGAAGCCACTGCTCCAAAACCGCCATAAAAAAGCCAGACTACGGTTTGCAACTGCACATGGGGACAAAGATCGTACTTTTTTGAGAAATGTCCTCTGGTTTGATGAAACAAAAATAGAACTGTTTGGCCATAATGACCATCGTTATGTTTGGAGGAAAAAGGGGGTTGCTTGCAAGCTGAAGAACACCATCCCAACCGTGAAGCACAGGGGTGGCAGCATCATGCTGTGGGGGTGCTTTTCTGCAGAAGGGACTGGTGCACTTCACAAAATAGATGGCATCATGAGGAAGGAAAATTATGTGGATATATTGAAGCAACATCTCAAGACATCAGTCAGGAATTGAAAGCTTGGTCGCAAATGGGTCTTCCAAATGGACAATGACCCCAAGCATACTTCCAAAGTTGTGGCAAAATGGCTTAAGGACAACAAAGTCAAGGTATTGGAGTGGCCATCACAAAGCCCTGACCTCAATCCTATAGAACATTTGTGGGCAGAACTGAAAAAGCGTGTGCGAGCAAGGAGGCCTACAAACCTGACTCAGTTACACCAGCTCTGTCAGGAGGAATGGGCCAAAATTCACCCAACTTATTGTGGGAAGCTTGTGGAAGGCTACCCAAAATGTTTGACTCAAGTTAAACAATTTAAAGGCAATGTTACCAAATACTAATTGAGTGTATGTAAACTTCTGACCCACTGGGAATGTGATGAAAGAAATAAAAGCTGAAATTAATAATTCTCTCTACTATTATTCTGACATTTCACATTCTTAAAATAAAGTGGTGATCCTAACTGACCTAAGACATGGAATTTTTACTAGGATTAAATGTCAGGAATTGTGAAAAACTGAGTTTAAATGTATTTGGCTAAGTCGTATGTAAACCTCCGACTTCAACAGTATGTTAGACTTTTCAAACTAGGTTTAATTGGAAATGCAGATAAAGCGTTTTTATCAAAAGCAATCACTTTTGCATGTGAAAACACGGAATCCTACTCATTACTCCACGTGCTACCTACGCCACTTTTGTTTTGAGCCGACTTTGCCGATGGCCCGAACGGGGCACCCGGCTCACGTCTGGGAAGCAGACCGGTTCCAAAACTAATGCAATCACTTTTCACCCGGTGCAAACTCCGCCATCTTACTCAAATCCCCGCATAAACTCTCTCTCTATCTCGCGCTCTCTCTCAGATTTACACACAAAGTTAACAAACACACACAAAGTTACCTTATGATCCTGGCGAGGTGAATCTTGTCTTTAGCGGGGTACGGCCCATTAGACAGGAACGCATTCCTCACTGCACGCCCTGCACAAGGGAAACTCTGGGAGCAGGACTGACACAAACACGAGTCAAATAAGATATATATAATTTATATACATACACTACATGACCGAAAGTATGTGGACACCTGCTCGTCCAACATCGCATTCCAAAATCATGGGCTTTAATATGGAGTTGCTGCTATAACAGCCTCCACTCTTCTGGGAAGGCTTTCCACTAGATGTTGGAACATTGCTGCGGGGTCTTGCTTCCATTCAGCCCCAAGAGCATTAGTGAGGTCGGGTACTGATGTTGGGTGATTAGGCCTGACTCGCAGTCGGTGTTCCAATTCACCCCAAAGGTGGGGTTGAGGTCAGGGCTCTGTGCAGGCCAGTCAAGTTCTTCCACACCGATCTCGACAAACCATTTCTGTATGGACCTCATTTTGTGCACGGGGGCATTTTCATGCTGAAACAAGAAAGGGCCTTCCCCAAACTGTTGCCACAAAGTTGGAAGCACATAATCGTCTAGAATGTCATTGTATGCTGTTGCCTTAAGATTTCCCTTCACTGGAACTAAGGGGCCTAGCCCAAACCCTGAAAACAGCCCCAGACCATTATTCCTCCTCCACCAAACTTTACAGTTGGCACTATGTATTTGGGCAGGTAGCGTTCTCCTGGCATCCACCAAACCCAGATTTGTCTGTCGGACTGCCAGATGGTGAAGCATGATTCATCACTCCAGAGAACGTGTTTCCACTGCTCCAGAGTCCAATGGCGGCGAGCTTTACACCACTCCAGCCGACACTTGGCATTGCGCATGGTGATCTTAGGCTTGTGTGCGGCTGCTCGGCTATGGAAACCCATTTCATGAAGCTCCCTGACGAACAGTTCTTGTGCTGACGTTGCTTCCAGAGGCAGTTTGGAACTCAGTAGTGAGTGTTGCAACCGAGGACAGACGAGTTTTATGGGCTATGCACTTCAGAACTTGGCGGTCCCGTTCTGTAAGCTTGTGTGGCATCCCACTTCGTGGCTGAGCCTCTGTTGCTTCTAGACGTTTCCACTTCACAATAACAGCACTTACAGTTGACCACCTTTCCAACTGACTTGTTGGAAAGGTGGCATCCTATGACGGTGCCACATTGAAAGTCACAGAGCTCTTCATTAAGGCCATTCTACAGCCAATGTTTGTCTATGGAGATTGCATGGCGTTGTGCTCGATTTTATACACCTGTCAGCAACGGGTGTGGCTGAAATAGCCGAATCCACTAATTTGAAGGGGTGTCCACATACTTTTGTGTGTATATGTATATATATATATATATATATATATATATATATATATATATATATATATATAGTGTGTATACGTTTACACAGACGTGTTTCTGTGTGTGTGTTGTTGATACTAAGATAACTGTGATGTCAGTGTAACTATTGATATTGAAACAGTGGTGAAACTATGATGTCACCATGTTAACCTGGGTCAAGTACTAGCTACATAATTAAGCAATAAGGCCCGAGGGGGTGTGGTATATGGCCAACATACCATGCTAAGGGCTATTCTTAGGCATGATGCAATGCGGACCCTTAGCCATGCTATATTGGCCATATATCATAAACCCCCAAGGTGCCTTATTGCTATTATAAACTGGTTACCAACGTATTAGAGCAGTACAAATACATGTTTTGTCATACCTGTGGTATATGGTCTGATATACCACGGCTGTCAGCCAATCATTCAGGGCTCGAACCACCCCAGTTTATAACGTCAAATAGGCTACTTCCAAATACTTGAACTGAATCAAAAGCACCAAAACTTAAAGTATTTTACATAATGTATGTATTTGACCAATATGTATATGACTATGATGTTTAGCTACCTCTGTTTGATGAAACAAACATTCTTTATTTGCCGACATGACATCACCTATGGACGTGAGTGTGTGTTTGTGTGTGTGTGTGTGTGTGTGTGTGTGCGCATGTTTGTGTGTGTACGGGTGTCTGTGTGTACCTTGTGAACAGTAGGGCTGGTGCTGGGTCCAGGGATGGTATCAGGTGACTGCTGCCGAGACAAAATCAGAACACACAGTCAGAACACAGTATTAACACACACACTAAGGATGGGCACGGTTATTCTAATATCCGAACGGACGTTAGTATTCGATTACTTGGAAGAGTATTCTTTTACCATTACATTCACAATTCTTTATAAAACAACAGTTTTATGACAGTTGTTATGAGTACACCCCATAAAAAAGAGCAGTTTCACACCTGTAGCTTGTTGTTATTGTCTGTAAATCACACCTGTAGCTTGTTATTATTGTCTGTAAAGCAGACCTGTAGCTTGTTACACATTTCCAGACAGTGTTTGGGTTAGAGGAATGCAGCTCTAGTCTCGCTAGATCTCGTTTCGAGAGAGCTAGAGATAGAGAGAGAGAGAGATAGAGAGCGAGAGAGAGCAGAGAGGAGAGAGATAGAGAGAGAGCAGAGAGAGAGAGAGGGAGAGAGACGAGAGAGGAGAGAGAGAGCGAGTGAGAGAGAGAGAAGACGAGAGAGGAGAGCGAGAGGAGAGAGAGGAGAGATGAGAGAGAGAGATAAGATAGGCAGAGAGCGGAGATTAGCGAGGAGAGAGGCGCGAGCAGAGAGAGATGAGAGATGATAGGGAGAGCAGAGAGAGCGATCTCGGAGCCTCCAATATACTCATCTCTAGATTCTCTCTCTCTCTCTCTCTCTCTCTCTCTCTCTCTCTCTCATCTCTCTCTCTCTCTCTCTCTCTCTCTCTCTCTCTCTCTCTCTCTCTCTCTCTCTCTCTCTCTCTAGCTCTCTCTCTCTCTCCTCTCTCTCTAGAAAGAGGATTGACACCCACCATCTCAGATTGTTCTGAAATCGTTTCTGTAGTTACAACCAGATAACATTAGCATTTCTGCAACATTATTTGGTTTAAATATAATTTCATCTCTGATAAATTAACCTAATTGATTGTACCCAAATTGGCCATTTTTATTGATAGGATTAATATCATATTTCATAAATATAGTACCTAACATGCGATTTCAGTTCAACTCGGGATAACCGGTCATACTAAAAGTGGCTTACCTTTTAGCCAGGTAAATTTCTATGGCAACGAATCCTTCAGAACTAACCTGTTCTGGGGGCAGGCTAACACAGGGCTTACTCCACTTACCCTGAATGAAATGACTGAGCCGCGAGTTGAGGACCAATGAAATCAGATTCCCCCCGAAAGCCGAAGCATCCATTTAGAACGTTTTCTCACCACCAAATATGGTAGTGAGAGGAAGTCCAGTCGCAGGGTAGTAGGAGAGGATGGAACTAGGTGAAACTGTGCTGACATTCTGCAACATTTCTTATCATCTGAAACATCTGATCTCAATAAATGTTTTTGTTCCCAAAACTAGAATCTGTTACAAACACAGTGCACTAGGTTTTATATACTTGACGCTTTTCCAAAGTTATAGAAAATTGCGTGGTTTAGAAGGTACTTAACCCTAACTGCTCCTGTAAGTCGCTCTGGATAAGAGCGTCTGCTAAATGACTAAAAATAAAAAAATAAAAATAAGGAGTGTAAGGTCGGATTGAGTTTGCGCACATGCACACTTCACAGAGGAGGTGTTCCCTAATGAATTTTACAAATACATGCTACAATGCGCCAATAGGATCTTGCTAGCTTGTGCTTGGCGTTGCCCACCTCCTTGCTTGTTCTGCCCACTATGCTTCATTTGTTCCCACTGTAAACAACACAGATTAACTATCTTGGGTTAGTTATAAATATCCTTTGAGTTCGGCGTTTGACTAGCCATGTGCGACATGCACGCGCAGTTACAAACCTGCTAGAGTTAGCGGCAGGCGGACGAGCAATATCCACGTCGTAGTACGGATAAAGCCTGAGCTGGAATGTGAAGGTAACTGAAGCTGCTTAGCTTTAAAAAAAATAAAACTGAGTAGATCTAGCTCGCTTCATAGGATACACCTCTGGTGTGACAGCAACCCATGCTCGGTTTTGTTTACATGGCCACTAATGTTAACTTTTTAGCATTTGTGTCACAAATCCAATACAAGTCAATGGTACCTATATTAGCATTTTCACGCTTCATGTCCAAATCATCCTAAAGTATCTAAAAATGTATTGTTTAACTCAATTACGTTACTTATAGATGATTTAGATATGAAGCGAGAAAATGCTAATATAGGTAACATTTACTTGCATTGAATTTGTGCCACAAATGCTAAAAAGTTAGCATTTGAAACAGTGGCCAGGTAAACAAAACCGAAGCATGGGTTGCTGTCATACCTCGTCCATAAACTGCTTGCAGGGTAAGGAAATAAATATGTAATTGTGTAATTTGGGTGAACTCTCCCTTTAACAATGTGGGGGGGGGATCTTTAAAAAAAAATCCCCTAATAGCAGGAGCAGCACCATCTAGTGGTCAGAACCTGGTAATATAATGATGTAGGATGGGTCATAAACCCAATAACTTCAATGACTAATGGTGTTGGCAGACACAATGTAAGTAACTTAATTTATGTCCCCTTAATTGCCCTGAATACCTCTGTTGATCCTACAGCTATTGTATGCAGTAATTATGAGCCTATGAACCAGAGTTACACTGTTAGCACTGAGGTGGTGTGCCCTAGTAGGAAGTCTACTGTGTGCAGCTCACCCTGCACTATCAGCTCCAATATAAATAACATGAGCATGTCTACTTCTGATAAGCTTCCCAGTAAAGCATTAAAAACAATCAAGCAATCTAGAAAAGTGCTAAAAATAGCACATATTAACATATGCAGCCTGTGAAACAAGGTTCATGAAGTCAATAACTTGCTTGTAACAGATGACATTCATATTCTGACTATCTCTGAAACTCACTTAGATAATACCTTTGATGATAGTGGTAGCAATACATGGTTATAACATCTACCGAAAAGACAGAAATGTCAACGGGGGCGGTGTTGCGGTCTATATTCAGAACCACATTCCTATAAAGCTTAGAGACGATCTCATGTTAGATACTGTTGAAGTAAT